ATGTGAGTGTAGCCCTGCAGCCCCAGCTCTCCTTGTTGATTCAATAAATGTTTATCTGCTTATCTGCATTCAACAATTACCGATAAGATAGTAGTAGGGGCCCAATGTGCTTCCCATTAAAGGTTGTGAGTCGTCGAGTGAGCCAGTTTTCTAGGAAGCAAACGAAACCTCACCGCCACCCACCACCACTGTACTGTACAAAACTCCACTTGGTCCATTTCAGTTTGCTCATCCGCTAATCTCAGAATGGGTCGCCAGGCGAGACTGGTGCTGTTGTTGGTCGTGTGCCTTGGGGCGCTACGGGCCAGCCACTCGAGCACCCTGAAACCCACCATCCACCTAATCAACGATGACATAATGGACAATGAGCTCAGCTCCAGCTCCGATGATGTGGCGGACCAGAGCAGCCTGAAGATCTCCACGCCCAAGGGCAAGGATCTGCCGGTGGACACGACCACGAAGAGTGCCAAGAAGACTGTTGTGGCCTCCACCACCCAGCAGCCCATTAGCGAGGAGACGCTCAAGGACCTGATGGAGGCATCTAAGCACAGCCTGGCCCTGGCCGAGGATCCGCGCTTCAACAAGATGCTACCCAAGTCCCAGAATGCCACCGCCGCCGCCACCGCCGCCATCAGCAAAAGTGGCAAGAATGCCACCAGCAGCGATGAGACCGAGGAGTATGATGACAACTATGGCTACGATGAGGACGACTACGCATATTTCGATGAAGAAAAGGAGACGACGCCCAGTGCAACTCCCAAGAAGAGCCGCACCACCACCACCCGCCAGCCCAAGCTGCTGCCCATCGTGGAAAATGCCTCCACCAAGCCAAAGGTAATTTTAATTCAAGTAGATCCAAGTTCCAGCCATAACCAAGTTGATCCCTTAGGTGAAGGGCACCGTGTCGAAGACCAAGGAGAACACCATCGACACCGACAACGACTCCAACTACGAGGACTACGACGGAGACGACGACGATGATGATGACGATGACGATGATAATGACGACAATGTGGCCCAAGGTGAAGCGGATGATCTGGCCGACGATGAGCAGGTTGTGTTCAGCGAGAATGTGCCCTGCCCCAGATACTGCGTCTGCTCGCGCAACGTCAACAGCTACCTGGTGGCCACCTGCAGCAGGTTTGTCCGAATCCTCGTTCCCCCCATTGCCCCATAGCCCAGAATCCAGATGATTAGATTTCCGATTTCACAGACTGGATCCCGGCACCCAGAAGTTCGGCTCGGACATCACCGATCTGGTGGTGACCAATGTGGGCCCCAAGTACCCGATACTGTTGGGACCCAAGTTCTTCCAGGGATTGGGCCTGAAGTTTGTCGCCTCCATTAAGATTGCCAACTGCACGATTGAGTACATGCACCCGGAGGCCTTCCACGGCCTGGAGGAGCTGTATGCGGTCAATATGACGGATGTGGGCCTGGCCATCATCAATCCGGACACCTTTGCCCAGAACAAGAAGATGCGCATGCTCACCATCTCCGGCAATGACCTCAGCGTCATGTCCAGTCTCCACTACCTGCTCAAGGTGGGTTTTCCCAGACAAAGATCTTTAATTTATTTACTAATGACTCCACACCCATTGCTCCCTCTGTTTCAGTCTTCTAGCATTGAGGAGCTGGACCTCTCGCGCAACAACCTCATGGAGCTGAACCCCAGGGCCTTCTCGAAGCTGTCCAACATTGTGTTTATCAATCTGGCCCAGAACAACCTCAAGAAGATACCCGAGAAGGTGTTCGAGCCCGTGGAAACGCTGGAGGAGCTGGACCTCTCATACAACTCGCTGAGTGAGCTGCCCCGTGGCATCTTCAACGGCACCACGCTCTCCATACTGCACCTCAAGTACAACGCCTTCACGGGCGACCTGCACTTCGGCATCAAGGAGCTGCAGCAGCTCGATCTGAGCTTCAACTCGATTGTCCAGGTGCACCACAGCATGTTCGACAAGATGCCCGGCCTGACCAACCTGAACCTGAAGGGTAACGGCATCACCAAGATCCAGCCGGACTCCTTCCTGACGCTGAAGAGCCTGCGGCACATCGATTTGTCCATCAACGAACTGGACCAGATATCGGGCATGCTCTTCTTTAAGAACTCCGAGCTGGACGTGATCCGACTCAACGACAATCCCCGCCTCAGCCAGCTGCCCACCGACGGCTTCCTCAGCTACAACGGAGAGTTCACGGTCTACTACCTGGACATCTCCAACTGCGCCATTGGCCCGCTGGGACACAAGACCTTCTCGACGATGCCCCATCTGACCACGCTGAAGCTGGCCTGGAACAACATCAACCATCTGCCGCGTGAGATCTTCACCAGCCTGAACAAGCTGATTGACTTGGATCTGAGCAACAATCTGATTGCCAAGCTGGACGACCTCACCTTCATGGAGAACAACGAGCTGACGAAGCTTAATCTGGCGGGAAATCCCATCAGCCGGTTGTCCGTGCGCCTGTTCATGCCCCTGAACCAGCTCCGATCCCTGGACGTGAATGACTGTGAGCTGACCACGCTCCTGTCGGACAAGCAGCTGGGCGTTGGCTACAAGATCTTCGACAGCTTGCGCAGCTTCAACGCCTCCGGTAATCTGATCAAGAGAATCTCCTCGGCGGACGTCAAGAGCTTCAAGAACCTGCGCTCCCTGGACATCAATGGCAATCCGCTCAAGTGCAACGCCGAGTTCCAAGACTTCATCAGCTACGTGACCCTGCAGATGCAGATGACGCCCAAGAAGATGCCGGTGCTGGCCAATTTGGAGGATGATGCCACCATTCTGGAACTGGAGACGCAAGCCCAGGCAGGCTGGGCTCAGCTGGCCCACGAGGTGTGCAAGCACGAGGAAGGGGCCATGGCCAAGGCCGATAGGGCGGAGCAGAAGCTGGAGAAGCGTCTGAAGGAGAGCGAGAAGAAGCTGGACGAGGATGAGCAGAAGCTGCTCAGTGTCCTCGATAAGAGTGTGCTGGACAAGAGCAAGCTGAGCAGCATGCAGAAGATCATGAAGGGTTCGGCCAATGCCAAGGAGGGCGACAGTGCTGAGGAGGATCTGAACAACGGAGGCGAGGACAAAGAGGATGACGCTGAGATCGACTATGAGAGCGAAGAGGATGAGGATGATGATGATGATGATGATACTGATGATGATGATAACGGCAACGACGGTAATGATGATGAGCGCTTCGAGGAGGCCAAGGATACGACAAAGACGAAGACCAAGACCGATAATGACTTTGTCAAGTATTTGGAGAAGGAGATAAAGCCAAAGCTGAATAATCATGGCCTCAAGGTGGAGGAGATCGACATGTCCAAGGAGACACGTGACAAATTCCTGCTGGGTGAGTTTAACTTTGGCACAGACATGGTGTTGTTGTCCCTAACCCCATCCATTCCAGAGAAATTCGGGTTGGACAACGGCGACTCAGATGAGGAGGAGATCTTCATTGAGCGCGGGCACATCTACTATGGCGGCTACAACTACAATTACCTGATCCCAATGATCCTTGTGATCTCGTGTGTGGTCCTCATTCTGTTGGCCATTGCCAAGGTCGTCATTATGGTGCTGCGCAAGCGCGGCGAACGCTACCGCATGGCCCTGCTGGCCTCGAAGAACTCCTTCGTTTACCAGAAGCTCAGCGAGGATATTGTGAAGCCGGCCAGCAAGGAGCCGAAGCAACCAAAGGTGCACCGGTACGCGCCCATCGATCAGGTCTAAGTCCTTCGCTCCATCGTCATCGCAGTTCCGGGCAGGACTTGGCGGAAGTCGGCGGATGTCGAAGTCGAGTTGCGCTGTTTTTCTAATTTATAAGATTATTGATAGTTGAACAAGTGGAAATTGCATCAAACAACAATGGTCAACACCACCCCACCACCCCCCGCTGGACGATTGAATTGAACACACACACACACACACACACACACGAAGAAGGCACACAGAGAGAACCCGTTGTCGGACCCCACCGCCAGCGTCAGGAGCAAAAGTATTAGCAAAAATGAAAAGGAAACTGAAAGCAAAAAAAAAAACTGAGAAATACTTCAAATCCGAAAATAATGAGAAAATGAGTAAATTGATAAATAACAATTCCATACCATACCCACTAAAATGTATAAAATAGCTGCATATAAATGCATATGTTGTACTTAATCCTGTTGCAACCGCCTCCCAGGTGGGGGACAACAGCAGAAACAGGGCAACAAAGCACTCCCGGACAGAGAACGAGCTCGATTTAGCAGCCGTTTCGAGAGCAACGGACCTACCACTGATTGAGCCGCCCCAAAAAATAACCCAGATCCCAACAACCCTGTCCTATATTGAACCACAAGAGAATTTCGGGAACAACTTGAAGATTTAGTGCCATTTTGCCAAAATTCAAACCAACTGTTTCAAAACTAAACACGAGTCAGGAGGAGGCAGAATTAATAGTAACGAGGAGCCAGAAGATTGTAGTAGGAGCTTAGATCCGGATCTGTGTAGAAAACTGTTAGAGACGCGACTCTTTGAAATGACGTCTGACGTTTGAAAACTGATCAGAGCAGATGAGAGAAACAATTAATGCATAAAGTAAGTTAAGCTTTTTTTATTATCTTTTTTCCAATCAAGTCAAGTAATCGGTTGACTTACTTTGACTTTGAAACCAATTCCGAAAACAATAAATTATTTTAACCAAACCGATCGTAATCTTTAATATACCTACACATAAACTATAAAATGCGGTTCAATAAAATTGAAAATCTTTTCTTTTTGAATAATCTAATGGGTTACCCTAAACTCTGAGTGGGTTGGTGGAGGAGAAGTACAATTTCCGCTGGAGTCAGATCCGATCCCAAATGAACGCCACATTTCCTTTGATGTATGCAGAACAAACACTCAAGAGTTTTAAATTCAAATTTAAACATTTATCGATATTTATATATTTGCTTATCGCTAGTCTGCAGCCCTGACAAAACAGCTGAGGAACGAAATAAACAAAAAAAAAAAGACAAGAGCACGCATTTTCAAAATTATAATATTTCACATAAATATACGAAAACTCGCTCTTCAGAATGGAAAATCGAGCTGCTCCCAGTTTCTCTGAATGACCCATTAAAATAAAAAAAAACAGGCACAAAAATATACAGACAAATACTGCTCGTTGAGTCAAAGCTCAGGTGCAATGAGAGTGGAGAAATACGATCGATCGAATTCAATGCTAAAAGATTTCTGTGATTGTTTTCTGATTGTGGTATTTTCTGATATACAAAGATATACTATAAATGGGGATGCACTTACATATGTATGTATGTATGTATGCTTGAAAGCTTCTTCTGTCTGCAGTGGGACCAGCTTGGCTGCATGGATCCGTTAGTTTCACACTTTTTCTTCAAGCGAACAGACCAAGCGTGTGGGTAAGTGCCGAGCACATTCATTTAATACGCCACCATGGAATTCTCAAAGAGTTGGGCCAAGTTCTCGTGGGTCTGTGCCCGCGGGGCTAGTTTAGTGATCCGTTCCTGGGGCAGGGTGCCCGCGACCAGACTGGGCACATCGCTGCTAGAGAAGCCGAGTTCGCGGAGGCCATTTTCAATGCCAGCGCGTTGCATAAAGCCTCGTACAGTGTCCGCCAAAAGGCGACCGGCATCTGCGGCCTTAACGCCGTCTACCTTGGCGCCCAGTAGCTTGGCCGCCTCCAGATGACGGTCTGGGCAAGCGGGCGCAGTGAACTCAAAGACCGCCGGTGCACTTATCACAACGGAGAGGCCATGCGGTATGAGCGCATGTTCGGCCAGGTAGCCAGCGGGCTTGTAGTCCCTCACATTTCCCGAAATGGGATAGGAGAGTCCGTGACAGAGATGCACTCCAGCGTTGCCAAAACCCACGCCGGCCATTGTCGAGGCCAGATGCATCTGGGATCGAGCCTCCAAATTCTCCGGCTGGTAGATGGCATCTATGAAGTTCTTGCGTATCGTCTCGAGGGCGAATCGCGCCCACACATCGGAAACAGGATTCCTTCCCTGATAGGTGGGTCGCAGACTGGGATCACTCGGCGCTGGCCCTCGCTCGCGGTAATCCACTGCCGTGAAGCTCTCCAAGGCATGGCAGAATACATCGAAGCCCGCAAACGCCATTACCCGTTCGGGCTGCGAGAGCGTGTGCAGGGGATCGATAATGGCTAGGGGTACAGAATGTGTGAGAAGTTTGAGTATATTGTATAATGGAGTTGGTTTAATGTTTACCCAGAGTCGGCTTGAGATATTTGCTGGAGATTCCAGTCTTGGCGTGCAATCGCTTATAGTCGAAGATGGCCACGCCAGTGGTTTCGGAGCCAGTTCCCGAGGTGGTGGGCATGGCGATCAAGGGCTTCAACTTCACCGATATCTACAGGGGAAACAGGGATCCATAAACAGCGATCTTCAATATGTTATTTGATGCAGCAGACATCACCTCCTTTCCCTTGCCAATCGGACAGTTGACATAGTCCAGAAACTCTGCCTCGCGATCGCTGCTGAACAGATTGGCTGCCTTGGCCGTGTCCATGGCGGAGCCGCCGCCAATGGCGAGGAATGCATCGAATTCGTTCTGACGCGCATACTTCGCGGCATGCCACATGCTGGCATCGGTTGGCTCCACGCGCGTCTCTTCGTACACCTCGTAGTTTATGCCATGGCGGGCGAGGGAGTCCAAGGCCACCTTGACGGAAGCCAGCTTAGCAACATTCTTATCCGTGACAAGACAGACCTTCTTGGCGCCCAAATTTCGCAAATCTGCGCCAACCTCAGCACTCACACCAGGTCCAAAGCGCACCGTCGATGCAGACATCTACCAAGCATAGAGAAAAACAAATTAAGATTATTATTTACCTTGGACTTTGACCTGTCGCCTGATACATCTATCAACTACAGGCAAAAAGAGATGATTATCTCCTATCTGCGTGCAAGCCAAAGTCCAATGCAGAGTCGAGACTTATGTACCTCGAAGGCGTATTCCTTTTGTCCCGTCTGGATCCCCGTGGCTGCTGCCGATCCATAGTTATTTGAGTGGGCGGGGCACTTGCAGCTAAATCGAAGCAAGGCAGGTTTTATTTAAACAATTATTACAGAATACTGTTCCGCTTACGAATTGGCCACGATCGTATTGATCAAGTTCAAGACATTTTTGCGCGACATCTCTAGCTCAGCTGTGTACTTTAAGAATTGGCAGAATATTCGCAGACTAGCGCGAAGAGCGTAAAATTATAGATGTACAGGCTAATCGTAGCAACAATTGAATCGGCGGATAATTGCAATTAGCAATTTAAATGAACCAACACAACAAAAACACAATCAGCTGATCGCTGATAAGAGCCTATCGATAGTGGCCCGCATATCGATAGCTTAATAACCTCTGCGATCGATACTTAACCGTTTTTTGTTTGGTTCTTCTGCAGATTTAAATCAAACAAAATGTGTGACTACCAACGCGAATACTCCTTTGTGCTGGACGACAGCACCTTTGAAGGCGATGTCTCGATGGCGAGCATTGACAGCGGCTTTGAAAGCATGTGGGTGCAAGTCGCCGAGGAGCTGCGCCACGAGAGGGAAATAAACGAGCTGGACCAACTTTTCCAACAAAAATTGAGCCTGAGTCCGCCAGCACAAAAACATGGAGATCAATGGATGTTTTAATGAACATCCCAAAAAGACGACGACTTGTGATGATTTTATAAGCTTACCCAGATAACCCAGATTTGTCACACAAAATGACCTTCGCTGGGGCATTTTCGATAAGTGCCCGAAGTCTTTGTATAAGCAAAAGTATAAGTCCCTATAGGTTTTTGTACACCGCGTTCCTTAAAGTTGTAATTTTCGTTATCGCGCAGTTATCTGTAAATTGTATTCATTCGTTAACTATTACGCGTAATGTTTTCTGTTAAATTAGCAACTATTCGACTTATACCGAACCTAAGTTGGTCCTGTGTATGGGCGCTCACTGAACAAATTGAACATACGGCAATTGTTTGCCTTCGATTTATATTTATTTTATTTGGAAACAACTTCCTCATCTCTCTAGGAGTTCACCTATTGTATATAAAAGCCAGAAGGAAGTATCGTACATCCTTAGCCCACATGATTATCAGATAAAGTTATCAAATTCCAATTGTTTATCATACAAAATGTTTTTCCACTTTAATTAGCTTGACTTGCAATTGCTAGAGATCCCCCATGGAGATGAGATCTGATTGAAATTCGCTTGGAATGGGAAAAGTGACATCGGCAATTGTTCGATGTGATTGCAGTTGTGAGGTGAAGCCAATTACCTAAATGTATGTCCGCCCATTTTTAGCGCTAGATTTACAACTCAATTTTGCTGGATATCTCGCTTGATCTGCGCACATAAACAACAGGCAAAGCTAAACGATGTTGACGGCTATTCCCTTCATTAGCAGTCGCGCGGGCAACACAGCCATTCCATAAAACGCCCATTCCACAGCCGGATAGACAGCAGTTTGCAACCAAGAGTGACGGAGAGAGCATAGTGAAGATGAAGTGGTTTAGTTTGTTCCTTGTGTTTGGCGTCTTGGCTTTGATTGGAAGCCTGGGCACCCTGACAGACGCGGAGCCAGTTCCAGCTCCAGCTCCCGAGCCCAAGGGTCGTCCGCATACCACACGACGCCCGCGTAACGACAATGACAACGATCGACGCTAGCAATCCTCCGAGCGGGAGGAGCCTCGAAGGGATTCGCAAACCTGGAGATGCAGCGAAACACAGAAGATACAGAGAGCACATCAACTAGTGGTGACGGTCAAATGTTTTGGAGTTGAGCAAATGCAATTTGTTGAGGTTCTGCTCGTGTAGCGGGCAGGGCTTCCCCCTACATAATAAATGAAATGCAATGCAAATCAAAGACGGCTCTAATTACAACAGAGTTTTGATCATTGGTTTATTCGATAGTTTCTTTGTCATAGTACACTAGAGTTAAATTGGTCTGCTTAATAATACCATGATGTCGTTCTCTTTCTGGGATATTTCGATATCTGATAGTTTTTGGGGGGCTGTAGCAGGCTGACGTTACTTTCTATGCTCTTTGGTAGTGCGAGGGTTTGGTATGGTACGGGGAGGGGAGTTGATTGGATTGGAGTGCGTTTGCATTGTTTTTGATTTCATTTAGTTTCTGTATTTGACTTTAATTTGATCAATATCATGCGATGTCAAAGGATACTTACGAGTAAGCCTCGGAATCATTTACAAATTTGCAGCTGACTGCATTTTATCAAATTTAATTCAATTGTATCCATTTTCATTGGCTTAGCTACGATAGGTTTGGTTACAAAATAATTTCAATTTATCTAAATTGTAATTACTTCCATCGCACGAGTCGGCTCCTGTGGCTGCTCAATCCCAGACGCCAGCGGGTGCCAGCGGGTGCCAGCGGGTGGCCCAGCGCAGGATTACATTTGTAAATCAATTTAAAGCTAACTTTACTTTACAGTTACAATTACCATTAGATTAGATTAGAGTTACACACGAGTAATTCAACTATTCCAGTTAATTATTAATAATTATTATTTGTGTGTTTAGTGGGGCGTGTTGGCGTCGATTCGCATTCGAGAGGGATTGGAACTTAGCCTATTATTAATCTCTAGTAAGTAATGTATGTATGTATGCATTTATGTATCTATGTATGTATGTATGTATATGGAATCATTTTTAGCATATACTCGTAGTTCGTAGCTCTAGCTGATTTGATCAAATGCTTACTCGTTTATTTGTATCTTGACATAGTTATAGATAGTTATATGTATCTGTATTTGCTGATTCTCTTATGATTCTTGTATCTTTAAGGTGGGTCTGACACTTGACTCGAATACAATTGAATTCGCTTTTTTTTTGTGGTTTTCTTTGGAATCTAAGCTCGAATTCAGTAGGGAAAGGGGGACACTAACTGGGGGATAAACAGGTAAGCGGGGACGGGGACTCGTCACAATGGAATACTAAGGGAATACAGCTGAGTATCTTTGGTTGTGGTTGTTGTTCTCTAGCTAGCTCCGATTCTCCTCCCACTCTCATTCGGGCGACTCCGAGGAGCCTGATATGCCCCCCAGACTACACGCCCCCACACTGCCCGCACTTGTCGATGCTCCAATGTCGCTGATGCTTTTCACGCGTCGTCGACTCTGCTCGTACAGCAACTGGGCATCCACTCCGCTCCCATCCAGCACGCTGCCAATGGGCGGGGCGCTCACGCGATGGCCCGGCGGCGGACCATGACTGTAGTTGTTGCTGCTGCTGCTGCTGCTGCCACCTGCCATGGGAATCGGCGGTGGAGCTGTGGTCGGAGGCGGCAGAAAGTGATGATAGTGTTGCTGCTGCTGGTGCTGCTGTTGCTGATGATGGAGCGAGCCTATGGTAGCGTATATTCCTCCACCACCCTCGCTGCTGCTGTACGAAGGCGTTGGGGAGGTGGAGTTGCCGAAGGAGCTGCGATCGCCGGCACGATGGGGTTTAGTATTGAACCGAAAGGCTTTGGAAAGAGAGCTCTGCCAGAGAAATAGTGTAAAAAGATTAGAAAATTGTAAGATAAAAATGTGTACGATCCGAGCTCACCTGAGATCCTTTCCATGCCGAAATCTATGGGTAATCAATGGGTAAATGAAAGAGAGACAAATGTGGTTTTGGATTATTAACAGTGAAAATCTATACATTTTCCGTCTGGATATTTTGAATGGATTGAAGAGAGAAACAAAGTTAGAAATGTCGTGAAACTTTTGCTGTTTTGCTGGATGTCTAAATTTGGAATTAACTTGTTCGAATATTCGCTGAAATTGTGTCTGATATTACGAGTATTGGAGTGTGTTTATTTATCTGTTGATTGTTTTGCGGATGGTTAGCTGAATTATTTGAAACAAACATGCTTATATCATGGGACTAATCGAAAAGTGTGGGGGGGGGGATATTTCCATAACTTAAGTCATACTTATCTGTCGTCGGTTGTTATTAGCTGGGACTACGTACACATACATACATACATATGTAAGAGAACAATTTGATATGTGGAGTAAAAGATCTTAGTGGCACCTCTAGTGGGTGTTGGAATATTATAGGAGACAAGTAGTTAGACACAGAGAGACAACAAAAGCTTCACGTCAAGTCAGGCTTAAATATTGGAGGATATAGGATATAGGATATCAATATCAATATGGATTATGGCTAAGCTTAATTATTGACTTGTATGTGAAGGACTTACCCTGAGGCTGCCGCTCGAGCGGCGGTCTGTTGTGGCATAGTGCTGCAGTCCGCCGGGTCCAGTCAGTGGCACTACGCCGCAACCTGAACGGATGCCTTGACCCAGAGTCGCTCTACACAACAAACATGGCAATGTCGATTTCCGATTTATGCATAGGTTCGTATTGTGTGTGTGTGTGTGTGGGTGTTGGGTGTGGATGTTTGGTGTGTGGGTGTGTGGGTGTTGATTGGATTTGTGCAATGTTTTTTTTTCGTTATAGGCAGGCAGGCGGGCGGCACAATGGAGATATTACACAGACACAGCAGAGAACGGAACGTAGGAGAGTACGGGTTGACGGGCAGGCAGGCAGGCACAGAGATACAGAGATACACAGATACACGGAGTGATATAGTGATATAGTGGCAGGCGGGCAGGCAGGCAGGCAGGCACACGCACACACATACACACACAGAGAAATAGAGAGAGAGAGAGAGAAAGTTGGTTGATTGTAGTAGTTGTTGTTGTTGTTGTTGTTGTCATGTTATTGTGGTAGTAATTGTGTTATACAATCAAGCAGAGCAGAGCAGAGCACAGCAGAGAGCATCAATAACAACAACAAGCCGTTGATTCGATTATAGTTTTTTTTTTTTTTTTGGTTTTTAAATGGAAGTTGGAAAAACACGTAGGAATAGCGGGAGATGGATAAAAATATGGGAAAGATGAAAAAAGAAACGGCACAAAGACACGAAAACGGTTAATCAATATTGAGAGATAAATATTTTGTTTATGCTGCTGCTCGTATTTCATTAAAAACAATTTCGCATAATTAACTACGTACATATAGAGAAAAACAACAGGAAACAAGGAGAAAGATCTATACATAAGTGAGCGACAGAGAGAGAGATACACAGCCCCAGAAATGGCCAACAGAAAGAGACACCAGCCAGCAGCCAGCCAGCCAGCCAACAGCCAACAATTAAGATTTTAAATGGTTGTTAGATGTTGTTGTTTTTTTCAGTGTGTGTCTTTTTAAAGCCTTTGTTCCAATCCAATCACACTTTGAGTGGAGTAAATATGTATGTGTATGTTTGTATGTATTGTATGATGTTGTACTTGTATTAAGATGACAACGATTACACTAGATCAAGCTACATAAAACATTGATAACACATACACGTACATAATGTCTTGGCCTTGAGTAAGCTGTTTAGTATGTGTGTCAGTGTCCGTGTCCGTGTCCGTGTCCGTGTGTGTGTGTGTGAGAGAGCTACTTAGTAAGCAATTTTTACTTACAATTGACATTGTAGTTCAAAATACGCGCAACAACCAAAATGAAGACTTCTTAAATCAAAATTAACTTATTTGAGACTCGCACTGTGGTCCCCCCTTATGTGGCAATTCTCTGATCTTTTATCTTGTATTTATTGCAAGTTTTGGGGAATGCGACCGCAGTGCAAACTCGCTAAAGCGCACCAAAATATGCAACACACATCAACACTAAAAGTTTTAGCCACGAAATGTTGTATGTTGTATGTGTATGTATTTATGTATGGTATGCATGTATGTGTGTATGCATTTGGTTTGTTTTTTTTTTCTTTTTTTTTTGGTCTCGAAAGTTCAATTGTGCGTTGACCAACATTTTTCGATGCTGTATCACAGTGGACAGTGGACATTGGACTAACTCTGTCCAGGCTAGTGGCGAAGGTAGATCGTTGAACAATGCTCGAACAGTTTCCTACATTCATTTTTGTTTTGTTTTCTACAGTATTTACGCTAACTCTGAAGCAAAGCATTAACCCTACACATGTATATGAATATGTATGTATGTATGTATGTATTTCTAATACTTTTATAGTTGGCAAATAATCGCTATGCTTCTCCGAGTGAGAGAGAATATTGAATGTGCAAAGCTTGGGGTTCTGGGGATATACTATCTGCATTTGCG